AAAATAATGATAAAATTTTACACAAAATAATTCATTACATAGATAATATATAGTTTTATTAATGTTATACGTATATATATGCTATAAAATTTAGTTCGGAATTTTTTTTATTATAATGATATTCTCTTCAATAAATTTCGAACTAAATTTAACAAGGTGGATCATATATATACATAAGCACGTTTTATATATATATGCATGAATGCATCCTATTTTTTTGTGCATGCAGGAGATTCTTTAATTTATTAATATATACTAATTCTGTATATAGTGATTATTACATTTTAATGTATAAATTTTGTAATATATCATATTAGGATTATAAGGCAATATGGATATCTAATAAAAAATAAAAAAAGATTTTGTAAAGTTTTAAAAGAAATATATAAAAATAACAAATTTATTGATATATTCATGTATATAATTAAAAAATATTAATAATGCTCCTATATCTAATCGGAAATTCATTGAATTGCATAAATAATGTGATCTCAATACTAAAACATATATTTAATGATATTATAAAATTTACTACATGAGGATTATAATAAGGAGTAAATAAAGTAAGTATATATTTTATAACAAAAACTACATATATTATATGGAAAGAATTTTTATTCAGTAGATATTCTTTAATAATTATATATGATTTCGGCTGTTATACATGCATATTTTAATAATATAATTCACTCATATCCCTACATATATATCTTTTATTTTATGTAAAATTATATATAATTTTCCTACAATTAATGTCTATGAGCATAAAATTTATATATATTATTATTAATTACGATCCAACATATGTTTTATATATTAAATAATTCATTTCATATAATTTGAATAAATTAAATATGTTCTTAAATCATCCCTAATATATATAGTAATAATGGAACTACATTTTGTGCTAATGTTAAAATATTATTATAAAATGGGAAAGTATGATTCCCATTTACATAAAAGATAATAATGTAATTAAATTTGTACCATATATGTTAACTTTTTATTCGTGTAAATAATGAAATATAACAAAACAATTATATATACATTTTTAGAAATACAGAAAGAGTCATTTTTTATAATTGTATTTTTAATTTAATTTTTTATGATTTATCCATATTTTTGATATATATATTTATATTAATATATTTTAAATTTAAACATTCATTAATGATTATGACGTAATGGATATAATAAATCTACTAATATATTTTGTATAAAACATTGTTTATATCCTAATGTAAAATTAGGCGATAAATTTCAGGGCTTAACGAATTAGAATTTACCCTGTAATGGCAATAATTTCCTTGAAAAATTAATATTTAAATAAATATACTCTAAATATCAATGCTTTTCATGTTGTTACATACATATAAATAATAGAATTGTATGTTATTTATGAATTATTCATATTGGTCAAATGTAAAGAAAATTTTATTAATTAATATTACATGAGTCTTGTATTTGAAAATTATGAATAAAAAAAAAAATTTCGGTAAAATCATTAACTATATAATAGAAAAAATGTATTTTATTTATATTTAATGAAGAATAATTACAATATAAAAATATAATATATGTTTATATCTTAATATAATGCACATATATAATATTTACCTTAATAATTGTTTATTTTTTTAAATACTAAAGGAAAAGGTAGATATAGTTTGTATTCATTAATATGAAAGCAATAATATGAAGACTTTATATAATATTATATCGTTTAATTATAATTAATTGTTAAATTAATATTATTTTTCCCTGGTAATTTTTTGTCTAATTAAGGAAACAAAGTTAACTATGCTAAAGAAAATTTCTTGTAATTCATTAGGAAAGCATCGAATTCTTATTTTAATGTATACGCACAATGCTTGTACATGGAGATTATTTAAACTAAATTAAACATTTATACTATACAAATTATAAATAAAGAAAATGTAAACAAAATTAAATGTTAAATAATTATGCATATATATGAACAGATCATTTATTATATAAATTATAAGTTTATTTTGTATTTCAAAATTTTTAATATAATGACGAAATTATTTTTTTCACAAAGAAAATATATAACATTCTTTCGATAATTATTATGAAAATATATTTAGTATAACATTTATTTTAATTGTATTTATTAATTAGAATAATTTTTTTAAAGCATATCATTTAGCAAATTTCCCCCAATTGAATTCTTTATGCCAGATGATATTATTCATGTCTATATAATATATTAAAGTAGTTATTATAGGAATTTAATTGATCAGGTTCATAAAATCCTTTTCTTAATATATTTTTCTCCTTATCTTTTATTTTACTGAATAACATTCCACTATCTCTTAATAGTTTGTTTGTCCAAGTTCCTACTGATGTAAACTAATGAGTAAATTATATATATTTTTTATTAATACATTTTATTATTATATTTATTTTTGTCATTTAATATCTAAAATATAGTGAGTCAAATGTATTTTTAATGTACTCTTTTATGTACTTTATATAATAGGGGAAATACAATGGATATCCCCATGAAAAATAAGAATAAACTATACCAGCGCGCAAATGATATGTTATTAACATTCTTTGAATCGGGTAAAGGAATTTCTATTGGTAGGCTATTAGCTTCTCTAAAACCTTGTGTCAGGGCATGATCTTCTCTTGTGTCATGTGCCATGGGGTTTTCTTCATTTACATCACATTTTAAAGTATTTAATTTTTTATCATTTTTGTAATTGGGGAACGATTTCTTATATACATTGCAATATGATGTATTCTCATTCATAATGCACGCTTTGTGCACTAAATCATACGTAGATACAGCTTTTTCAATATATTCATTATGCTTACTGAAACATTTATTATTGTTGTCACTAAGAGCATGTTGAATACTACCATAATCTTTAGAATAATCGAAAATTATTTTCATATTTCTAAATTTAACTCTACTAATATAAAAATTTGGACTCCTATATTTATTTTCTCTTAGAGCCATATTTATTAGTGGTTTCAGTAAAAACATAATTGAGTTAAACTCTTCATCGTTAGATACCTTATCAACTATCATATTACCGAACCAATAGTAAAAATAATCGAATAATTCTGATGCATTACCAGTCTTTTTGAAATGATGCGGCATATAACATATAGCATCTACAATATTTTTTAAGAAAGATGTATCATTAATACTATTATAAATTTTTAATATATCCTTAATTAATCCCTCGTCATCACCCTCGCATTCGTTGTGTGTTTGAATGAATTTATTATAGTATATAGTAGAAGGAAAACCTGATAAATTATTTTCCTACAATTTTAAAAAACATATTAATATACAAGAGATGTTTATATTCATTCATACTTTTTTTTTTCAAATATTTAAAAATAAAAAAATTAAATAAATAAGTATTATTTTGTTTTACATACACTAAATATCCCTTGCATTTTTCTTTTTATAATAATAGTTAATTATATAAAATTAAATGTATAAAAAATTATAATTAATAGTAAATGTATCAATGTAACTCAGTTTTAAAATTATATATATTTTAAATGAAATTTCTCTAAAGAGTATTATTGTTTTAGGCGTGGCCACTAAAAATTTACATATTATCTCTATAATGGTCCATATTTTCTTATCTTATTCTTGTGTCTTAAAAATAGTAACCATTATTATTCACATTAAATAAGACTGTAAATTTTAATATATTTTCTGTTTTATAATGTGCATAAATAGGAAATATGTTAACTATTTATGATTTTTTATTATTTGAAATTATTATTGCTCATTTCACAACAAATTAGCATATTCTTCAGATACATATTACATGTACGTTTTTTTCATATATCATTTTATTTATATAACATATAGATTTCTACTAATTGTATATGAAGAATATTTAAAATTTCTCTTAACTATTTATGTTAAATAGACTTTATTTGTGTATATTATTAAAAAAAGTTTACTTATTATATTTTATTCTTACATATTTAATATATTTCACGATTATTTATCCTTAATTTTTTATTCATACCAATATATTATATATTTTTTTTTAAAATACTTTATAAAGGATTATTTATATTATATCGACTAAGTATGTATAATAAGTTTGTTTGATATGGTAATTATTGATAATTATTTATATTTACCATGAAATTTTTATTATTGCACAATATACTCAAAATATTTATGTTTTATAATTGAAATATAAGTGGATATATTTATGTTATTAATATGTTATATGTTTTTATTATGCTTATTATACAAATAATTTATGTTAAACACATATCTCTCATTTTATAATGATTTAACACATATTTAAGTAACATTATTGAATATAAAACATTATAATTTATCATGGATTTTTTCATTTTTATGCAAAGGCTTTGTTATCTGTAAAAATTATTTATAATATCATACTACTAATGAACATATAAGGATGTAAATAAAATGTTTATTTGAGAACTAAGTTTAGTTGTAGATCTTATGCATATATATTTTGATATATAATACAGTTGTGTGTACAAAAACCATGTTTAGAGGTTATATTTACATTAAAGGAGCATTTTTTTTATGAACTGTATTAATATATAATATATGTAATACATACTTTGTATATTTAAAGGAATACATAATTATTTATCATATTATAATTATTTATCATTGTAAATCAAATATATAAATATTAATTATCTGTGCCTATTTTATTTTTCCATTTTACAAAACACCCAATTATTTAATAATATAGGAAAAATAATTAAAATCATTATAATGATTTAATATAGTATATGAAGCAAATTTGTTAGGATTAATGCAAATTCAAAATATAAATTTAGTTTTAAATACTAAAAGATTAAAAATATATAATTTAATATAGCTTTATATTATTTTTTCTTTATAAAATTTTAATAAATATGCAAAACAGTGAATAGATATAACCACAAGACGTAATTAATATACAAATTATTTTATAATAGCAATAATATAAATAAGTTTCTGAAAGTAAAATATTATAATAAATGTTAACGCATTAGCTATATAAATTCATATTTTTTATTATGAAATTGAGTAATAATTTGTATCTTATTTCTCTATTTATATATATCATTGGAGTAGTTGATTTTTAATACTTTGTTAAAGTTGAAAAATGACAGTAATTCTAATTTTTACGAAATTATATAATTCCTACATTTTTTTTTTATTATTACAGGCTATGCATCATACATATGTATATATTTAAGGCATTTTTTTGTAATTATTTTACTCTTTTATTTATTTTTTTTTTATTTTTAAATATATACAACAAAAACATAGTACACATGTAGTTATGAAGTAATATATATAATTAAAAATATAGGTTCCTCATCATGCTGTCTTTTTATAAATATATGTATAATTGTTATTAATGGGTTATATATATATATAAAGTAATACATCTAGATCCTTATATACATATAAATATGAAATGTTACTATTTTTATAATAAAACTATCAATATATTTATATTAATAGAATAATACTTTTTTTGTGAAATAAGAAAATATTGCAATAGAGGCTTTTTTTTTTATATAATGTTTGAATTACACACATTTCATTTATAATGTATACCTTTATATTTCTCTTTCCATTAATGATAATAATTAAAAAATTAATCATTATTTTAATTATAATGATATATATATTTTTAAATATTAGAAAAATGTAGTATAGTGAACAAAAATTTATTTATATACAAGAATTATTAATTCATTATATACATATCTAGGTTTCTTATAATTGTATTACTCATTTATTATACTTATACAAAAATAGATATACTTAATGAAAAATCATTGTGATCTAATAATGTTATAACACCATGAATATATTTAGAATACTACATGTATTCATATTCCATTTATCCATATATATATTAATATAATCTCTAAATATTCCTATAATAAACATTATTAGTTCATTTGTTTAAGACTTATTATATTGATATAATAAATATTTACATATTTAAAACTAAATATTTTTTAATATTGAATGGCATTATTAATTAGTATTCATAGCTATATTAAAGTTTATAACATATTATTTATTAGGCGTATATATAAAGAATAAAAATTATAATAATTAATGTTAACGATCCTCTTCCATTTATTGTAAAAAAATAAGATATCCTTAGAATAATAGGACATATGAATTAAGCATAAACTATAATTTACATTCACGTATATCTACTTTGTGCTTAATATAACACCAGCATAATTAATTGATTGGTATACTGTAAGAGATAAACCAGGAAATATAAGTAAATAATATATTAAATATGCATAGAATATTCATTTTATTTCCAATTATTATTTATTTAATGTAGTTATTTTGAATTACATTATAACATTTAATAAATATATATAGTTTCTTCTAGGTAGAAATACAACAAGAAGAACTTATGTTGAAGTACATAAAAAATATCTCCTATTTTATGAATTCATTCATAAAAAAACTAATTCCTTATATGTGTAAATTATATATATATGAAACATAATATAATTTAAAAATTAACTGAAAACCTTCTTTTAATATTGAATGAATGAAATATATAAAAATTTTGTATGATATAAACATTTACTTGTTTGTATCATGCTTAATAACATATAATTAGATATCGAAATATGAAATAATAAAAAGAGAAAAATTTGAATAATTAATATGAATGTTATGAATTCATACTTTAATTTTATGAAAAATATACAAAGATAACTATAAAAGTTGAAATTATTTCTAATTTTCCGTATTACTTTTAATGTACGCTAGATTTTTATTTTATTTATCCTCAAATTCATCGTTCTGTAGTGTGTATTGTCAGAAGATGCGCATAAAAAAAATGATCAATATTAATTTATTTATTTTTCTCATTTATATTTGAAATTATTTAAGTACTTTCAAAAGAAGTATTATATTTTTTTTATATACTCTAAGCAATTTAATTTAAATGCAATTTGTAAAACTAATGAGATTAATAATTTTAGAATAAATATAATCTTATATAAGGCTATCATTAGTCATAATAAAAAATATATATTCACGTGAATCACATAATATCTTGTTAACATATAAGTATTTATTATAATTATAAAGCACTAATGCATAAGTAAACTTGTTCTTATGATTTATTTCAGAATACTTTATTCATCAATATTATGTTACAAAAGTATAAATAAGGTAAAATTTTTATTTTTCATAAACTACAATATCTATGATGTAATTAAAATTTCTATAATACTCATAGTGATCTATATTATTCCACATACATTGTTTCTTTTTTTAAACTTGTATAAATTTTTATTCACACTTATTCAATCGAAGTACTATATTTTTGTAATTCTTCTGCATAATTACGGAAATTATATGTCCAAAATGAATAAAATTCATAATTAAATATATTACCCTTTCTAAAGAAGTAATATAGAAGCTTCAAAAAAGACGTACATGTAATAAAATAAGAAGATGTATGAAGACCTAAACATATATAAATTATTTAAAATGTTCTTAAGTAGAAATTAAAAATTCACCTTATAATTAAAACTATATAATGTAAATTCTTATTTTTCATTAATTCAAATTAGTCATTTTATATATTATAAGATGATAAATAAAAACATAGGTAGACCAAAACACCAAGTTTATTATGCATATATTTGTGTTTACTAAGAAAGATTTCAAAAATAAAAAATAATTAGATAATATGTAAGAGTGACATATATATCAGTCATCAAGAAAAACATTTATTTAGATTAGTTTAAAATTATTCCAGGTTAAAGGAAATATATTTATATAT